CCCTTCCCTGTTAGCCTGGCAGGAGGGAGCAGCGACTGAGCTGCTGTTGAGACTGAGGGTTCTCCCTGTGCTGCTCCAGGTGCTCTGAGGTCCTGGTTCTGCTGGGTGGTTTCAGTCTTCTTGGGCTGTGTGATACGTCAGGTGCTGGCAGCGTTTGTTCAGGGTTGGTGTTTTCACTCTAAAGATGACCTGGACAGGCTGGAGAGGTGGGTGGGGAGAAACTTGATGGAATTCAACAAGGGCAAGTGCAGAGTCTTGCATCTGGGGAAGAACAACCCCATGGACCAGTGCAGGCTGGGGGCTGAGCTGTTGGAGAGCAGGGGAGGAGAAAGGGACCTGGGGGTCCTGGTGGGCAGGGGGATGAGCATGAGCAGCAATGTGTCCTTGTGGCCAAGAAGGCCAATGGATCCTGGGGTGCATTAGAAAGGGGGTGGTTAGTAGGTCAAGGGAGGTTCTCCTGCCCCTCTGTTCTGCCTTGGGGAGGCCACATCTGGAATGTTGTGTCCAGTTCTGGGCCCCTCAGTTCCAGAAGGACAGGGAACTGCTGGAGAGAGCCCAGGGCAGAGGCACAGAGATGCTGGAGGGAGGGGAACAGCTCCCTGCTGAGGAAAGGCTGAGGGAGCTGGGTCTGTTGGGCTTGGAGAAGAGGAGACTGAGGGGCCACCTCATCCCTGGTTACAGATCTGTTCAGGGCAGTGTCAGGAGGGCAGAGCCAGGCTTTGTGCAGGGATGTCCAGTGACAGGACAAGGGGCAGTGGGTGCAAACTGGAGCCCAGGAGGTTCCATGTGAATCTCAGGAAGAACTTGTTTGGTGTGAGAGTGCCAGAGCCCTGGGCCAGGCTGCCCAGAGAGGCTGTGGAGTCTCCTTCTCTGGAGACATTCCAACCCCCCTGGCCACGTTCCTGTGTGATGTGCTCTGGGTGCCCCTGCTCTGGCAGGGGGGCTGGGCTGGGGGAGCTTTCCGGGTCCCTGCCAACCCCTGGGATTCTATGAAAGATCACTTAAGATGAGTTCTCATGTTTTATGTAGTTTATTTGCTGCTTGCATTTGTGCCACACAGATGTGATGAGAGATGAGCTGGTTTCATGTTTTCTCCTTGACTGCAGCCAGCCCTTCCAAACCACCCTGTGCTGTGACATGATGCTTAAGACAACTCCACAGAAAAAAAAACCCTGTGTGTGTATGTACACATCTCTCATATTTCTAGGGGCCTAAAGCTCAGAGATGAGCAAAGCTTCTTATTGCTACCAATTAAATTAATGATCTCATCTCAAAACTGGAAAACAATCAGTCACCTACAAATAGCTTCAGGTACTGAAGCCACCTGGTTGTCTCCTCTTAGGTAACAAAGGTTTTGGGTGAGGTTTGGCTGATTATTCTCCCCTGGTGGGCTTGATGTGAGGGGACTGTCCCAAGGGCCCTGGGCTGGCTGTGAGTGGAGCCCCAAGGTGCAGTGCAAACCCCTGGAGGGGATGAAGAAAAATGTTTGCCACTGAATCTTGTTACTGTGACAACAACAGTGAAACCTTTTCAAGTGGAAAAATAGGGTTTTTTTTTAAAAGAGCTCTGCCTGTCCCTTCAGCTCTGCTGAATGCTCTCTGGAGCTTTGCAGCAGTCCTGGATGCTCTGTGGCACAGAGTCTGGGTTTCCAAGAAAGCTATGAATCCTTTTAAAATAGAAATTTCTTGGCTTGAAGTGATGTAATTAGTTACCCTTTTCTTTCTCCATTTCTGGCCCATCTGCTCCTTTTTATTTCTGTTTTCTCTTCCTTCACTTCTCATTTCCCAAGTCCTTTCCAGCTCTCTCCCCTTCCAAGGTACTTTTCTGCTTTTTTTCTTTAAAATGTGATTCCCCAGCTGTCCAGTTTTGCTCAAAGCTGGTAGTGGTGTTTGCATCCCCTTCCCTAGCATGAACTGTTTCCTTCCTAGCATGACAGTTTCCCTTCCTCTCAAACACAAGTCAAGCTCCTGAGTCTTCCTCACAATCTGAATCCCCCAGGTGTGGCTTGTGACAGCAGCCTGAGAAACTGACCCTGGTGGGCTTGATGTGAGGGGACTGTCCCAAGGGCCCTGGGCTGGCTGTGAGTGGAGCCCCAAGGTGCAGTGCAAACCCCTGGAGGGGATGAAGAAAAATGTTTGCCACTGAATCTTGTTACTGTGACAACAACAGTGAAACCTTTTCAAGTGGAAAAATAGTGTTTTTTTTTTTTTAAAAGAGCTCTGCCTGTCCCTTCAGCTCTGCTGAATGCTCTCTGGAGCTTTGCAGCAGTCCTGGATGCTCTGTGGCACAGAGTCTGGGTTTCCAAGAAAGCTATGAATCCTTTTAAAATAGAAATTTCTTGGCTTGAAGTGATGTAATTAGTTACCCTTTTCTTTCTCCATTTCTGGCCCATCTGCTCCTTTTTATTTCTGTTTTCTCTTCCTTCACTTCTCATTTCCCAAGTCCTTTCCAGCTCTCTCCCCTTCCAAGGTACTTTTCTGCTTTTTTTCTTTAAAATGTGATTCCCCAGCTGTCCAGTTTTGCTCAAAGCTGGTAGTGGTGTTTGCATCCCCTTCCCTAGCATGAACTGTTTCCTTCCTAGCATGACAGTTTCCCTTCCTCTCAAACACAAGTCAAGCTCCTGAGTCTTCCTCACAATCTGAATCCCCCAGGTGTGGCTTGTGACAGCAGCCTGAGAAACTGAAGCTGCTCTTCATGTGATGCTGGTTGAACCCTTGCAGGTTACTGGTACAAATGTGTTGCTAGAAAACAGGCTGAAAACATCTAGCAGTCACCTCTTGGCTAGAAACCTAAAATTATTAGCCAGGTGGAAGTATGAGATGCATTTATACATGAAAAAAGTGGGATTCCTGTGGTCTCTAGGGATCTTTTCCAGGAGATTTGACCTTGACAGACCTTTTACTTTGTTCAGAACGTCCCAAAGTTTTGAAGGGCAGCTCTGAAACAGACAGATGCTTAATTCTGTTCTGCTGAAGCCAAGCTTCCCTGGTTTCTGTTTCTCCCAGTCAGCTCCCAGTGCAGCAGAGTGCTAAGGGTATTTTTTTTATTTGAAGCCTTGAATTCTGCAGAGACCGAGCACTTGTTTCTGAGGATCCACCAGGGAAAACATCTTCCTGTCCCAGCAGGGTGGGAAATTTCAAGCTCTGAAGTGATAATATATGTAGTCTTCCAGCATCATTAAAACAGGCTTTTTCTGACAGGGCCACTGAGATGCAAAGAACGTGATCCTGCCTGTGAATCCCAAATCAGTCGGTGTTACGGTGTCGTGGTGCAGATCATTTGGAGGCTCTCATGCAGCACCAGGGAAAGCTATGACTGTGGAGGGGGGAAAAAAAAGAAAAGGGAAAAAGAAAAAATCCCCCTGGTTTTCTGCTGGCCATGCAGTGTTCCTCTGTGCTGCTCTTGGGCTGGGATCTGGCTGCTGGTGCTCAGCAAACGGAGGTTTTGGGGGGTCAGGGAGCTCTGTGGGCTTTCTCAGAAGAAAGGGGGAGAAGATGGCACCTTGGCAGGCTGCTGGGTGGAAGATGCTGGCTCTTATTTCTAGCTTTTTCTGCTGTTTGCCTTAATTTTCTCTTTTTTGTTTTTTTCTGGAGTTTGGGAGAGCTTTTCCAGGCAGAGATCCTTGGTCCCTTATCAAGTGAGGATGTTATTACACTCTAAGGACTTAGATATGGCAGTGCTGGGGTGGACCCTGTGTCCATCCTGCCCAAATTCTGCCCCAGGCAGCAGCTGGTGGGATGGGTGTTACTTGCTTAAGCTCTGGCTGGGGCTGGTTTAACCCAACAACTCAGCCAGCAGGTTTTATTTGTTATTTTTTAGGAAGCGTGAGAAGGATTCTTAGAACAATAGAACCATTTTGGTTGGAAAAGGCCTTGGAGATCAAGTCCAACTTTTAACCCAGCACTGCCAAGGCCACCACTAAACAGTGCCCCTCGGCACCACAACTAAACATCTTTTAAATCCCTTCAGGGATGGTGACTTCACCCCTGCCCTGGGCAGCCATGGCATTAAAAAACAGCAAGGAGAAAGGTTTGAGGGGTTTTTTTTTGGGAGCTTAGGGGCCTGCATGCTCCATCTCTTGGGTGAGAGGAAGCACAAGTGTTGTGAACCCTCAGGAATGGAAATAGCAGCACTAAAACCCTCCCAAGGGAGCTGGAGAAGCAGGTGCTGGAGGTTGTCCCAGGGCTGGGGAGCAGAGCTGCCCTTTGCCCGCTGCAGGGCCGGACGCCCATGTGGCCGTGGACTTTGGCAGCTGCACCCGAGGAGCAGAAGAGAAGGGCCCCAGGGGCCTCCCAGCAGGTGTGTGTGGCTGCTGTGGTGGGGGGACAACAGGGAGGGGTGGGGGGTCCCCCAAACCCAAAATGAAGGGGGCCCTTGGTGGGAATGAAATGATGGGTGTCTGGGTGTTTGTGCCCCGTGGATGAGTTAGGGC